AACCCTTAATTAAATCTACAAAAGGCCCTTTAAGCTGTCTCTCAAGCATCATTATTGTGATTCTTTTTCAAACAAGAAAAATTAAATTATCACTAAAATCTGTTGAATTGTGGGTAATTTCTAGAACTGCAACCATTCAGAATCACCATGGCAACCATCTAACACACCCCAACAACCAGCTGGTTATTAAGGAAACCGTTAACTTTGACTTTTGTCTTTTCCTCAGAATGACGATGAGGACGATGAAGATCAAACGTCTTCGGAGGAATCTAGTGACTCTGACTCAGACTAGCTCCGCCTCTTCCCCTCATTGGAGAGGATAGGCTGTGCAGGCCACGGCTCCTCATGTGCCGATCATCCCAGCGGACCAATGAGAATCGGTGACGGAGCCTGACAGAGCGTTTTGTTACTTCTGTTTGTTTTTTATCGAGTGTTTGTTGGTTTTTAACTGATGGACGGTTCAAACAGACAAAGGGGGGGGGGGTGTCAGGTTTGTACAGAGTTTGACAGGCAGAGTGGAGGGGGTGGAGCCTATTGATTGTCATTAGTTACCATTAAGGGAGGAGTCAGTGTTCAGCCTCCTATCAGCTGCCTGCTGCAAAAAAATTACAAATAAAAATGCACTTTTTCTCATTTTGGATGTTTGATTTCATTTTCACCAAATAACCTGAGACCTGTCACTCACCTCTCCACCATGCTGACAACGCAATGTTGTGATGAACGTCAATAAAACAACAGACTCGTGGTTAATTTCAGGTTTTATAGACGTTTGATTTCAGAGATTTATAGAATATAAACAAGCTTTTTTCCCTCAAACACAAATAAATAATCTGACCTTTGACCCCCGACACTAATTCGCACATGTGCACACACTCAACCCTCTTCACAGAAAAAAAGCATCAACTCCCAGCTCCATCATCCCATACATGCATTTTCATCATATTCGTTACCACGGGTACCAAACACTGACACCCCCCACCCTGAAAAAAAAAGATAACATTTGTTCATACACCGCGTCCAATCAGAGTTCAGCGTCTACTCAGCTGATACAATGAGACGTTTAAGGAGCAGTTCAACATTCTGTCCACTTCCTTCCAAATCCAACATGGTGGCTGCGGAGCATTTAGGGACCAAGAAAAACAAAATAAAACTTCCCTTAACACAACACGGACAGTTTTCTAACACAAAGTGTGACTCGTTCTGGTTTCTGTCATATCTGCCGTTTACATTCGATACAGAACGTCGGTGTACGCCACGTTAAGAACCAATCAGTAATTTGACAAAGTTGTGATTTAAATGAGACGTTACGATTGGCTGTTGTGATGACTGATTTGGAACGTGTTCTGAAAAAAGTGGAGAGCCCCTTAAACGCTGCTCAGTGTAGCTGTCAATTATCAATATGTTTTATTGACTCAGTGATCAATAAAGATTAATCAATAACTAATAATCATCATCGATACAATAATCCTTAGTACCAGCTGAACAGGATCAATGAGAAGGTGGTGAAATCACACACACACACACACA